TCACTTGCCTAAATGTCGGTGTAAGCCATTTCAGTCCTCAGGAAGCCAGCCAGTGGTGAGAAGCCAGCATTGAACTCAGGATGGCCTAAGACAGACTGAATGAGGAATCAAATGCCAGAAGAGATGCTGGAATGCTGAGGTGTGCTCTAGGAACTTGGTTTCTGCTGGGTTCTTCCTGGATGTAGCTACACAGTTAAATAAAGACAGGCTAGAGAGCAGTCTAGTTCTCATGCCAACACTAGAGCTCAGAGCTAGCTCTCCCCAAAATCCCCGGTCTACATTCACAGCACATAGGCACGGCCCTACATCTCCTCTGGGTCCCATGAGATGTCTCTAAGTCATACCTTATTTCAGGTGGAGGACCGGTTGGCAGGGCAAGAGGTCAGACTGAAGCAGAAGCAGGGAACAAGCTAGAAACAGCAGAGCAGATGTTTGCGATCACTGCTCTACTGTGTTCCCTGGTCTCCTCTTAACTAATAGGGCATATACCCAGGCACTCAACGCATGCAGAGCATCACCACCGCACCTCTTTTCCTCTTGCACCTGCCATGCCAGGCACCCCAGTTCCAGGGGATAGCAGCAACGCTGAGTACACAGACCACAGCAGGACAGCACTGCGACAAGGGTTGGGGAGAGTGGTCCCAAAACGTGAGACTTGCCTGACTAAGTGGTCTCATTGTGAACCACCACAATGCCTAAATCACTGGAGACCTTCCCTGCCTTGAAAAAATCTCCATCCCTGGTGAAGTACCCTGCCTCTACATATGTGATGCCTGACAAGATGCCTAGCGAAGGCATCCACTGAAACCCGCTGAGCCTGAAGCCACCTGTGCTTCCCAGCTAGAGACTGCTGGGGTGCGAGCAGCCAGGGCTGGGGGCTCGTACACCCTGAGCATACTCCAGTCCCACTGGCTTGGATTAACCACACATTTAAAGTACCAGATTTAGTGTCCCAAGGATCGAGGCCTCCTATGGACTTTGGCTAATTTATTTTGGTATGGAAACCAAAAGCATTGAAGCTTATATGTATTATCAACAGTTCAGAATTACATGCAAAACTGTAGTGGACTTGGCTGATTCTAAGGCAATGTATGTGTTCCTTTTTTTAGTGTTACTCTTTGCCATCTTTCCTGCTGTTTGAATGTACCTCCTAAATGAATTGGCCATCGCCCACATGGTTTTAAAATATAATTTATTTTTAGCTAATGTGTTCCCGATAGACGGAACAAAACATGCGTTAAAAAAATAAGAATGAAATTAAAAAATCCTCCCCTCAGCAAACAAGTTCCCCCCAATCTTTATAAAAGAAGGCCAACTCTTTTCCTTCTAGTTCCCCTGCTAAATTTCCACAAGGCCATTAATCATAAAAACCCCAAACTGCATAAATTGTAGAAAAGCCACAGGAGCTGCCTATATTTTTTATAAAAAGAAAAAGTTCCTGCCAGAATCTCCCCCAACCTGATTACCTTTCCTCTGTCACTTGTGAGGACTCTTTCTTAGCCTTAGTACACACCTTCTCCTGGCTGGCAACGTACAGGCTGAGGCAAGCATAAGCCACCGTATTACTATTTCAAACAGTCATGTCTTCCTTTTGCATTGGTGTATAGTTAAACCAGTATACTTAAAACACTCCATGCTCCTTTTCTTTTGCACTTTTCCCAAGGAAAGATGTTTCAGTTGTACTTCAGGTGACAACCAAAAGTTACTCAAAAGGTTTACTGACTTGGATAAGGACTTGAGAAACAATAAACAACAAAAAAAGAAATGTCTGTCGTTTGCATCACTGAAATGGCTGCCCATACAGCAATACACCACTGAAGCACATGTAACAATTTATTATTTGGTCCTTCATCCCTCCTGTACTTAAAATTGAGCATATAGTCAATGCAAAGATTGAGAAAAATTGACCTAGCATCTATCTATACGTTCTGGGGATATTCTGTACTGGGTTGGCAGTAGCTCCACCAGTACAAAACCCCAAGTCCAAGGGTTCAGACCAACTGAACACAGGTTTTACATGTCCACTGCTTTAAGGGCTTTACGCAAAGTAAGCTATGCACTTGCAGTCCTCAGTGTACATTGAGATAGTATGTCTACAAATGGAGGATCTATCACTAGAATAGCTGTAGCAGTGTCATTACATTGGTACAACTATTCCCAATATAGAGAGGACCTTAAACAGAAATCCTTATGACAGGCAATGTTTACCACTGGCCGATTTATAAGACAGCTGTTAGCTTAGTTCAAAAATCAGCATATAAAATGTTCCTTGTTACTGTAAGTGGACAGTGATGATTATAGCTCAGTCTATGTTATTATTGCCTGATTTTCCCAGTTTGGGTTTTCACATATTGACTCCTTACTCGAGATCTTTTAACATAGATTTGAAAGGTGAATATGTTTTATTTTTTCCCCAGTAAATATACAATACACACTTCAACAGTACTATTAACCAACTTTTTATGCCAATCAAACTTTGCTGCACTAACGATACCAATGAAACACATTAAGAGATCATACTTTTTCGTGAACAAACTGTAGCCAATAAACAGTTTTTTAAAAAAACAAATTAAAAAACAATTCTAAGTGCTGCCACAACATCCCTTTTCTTTAAACACATTATTCACATTAAATGTTTTCAATTTTTTAAAAAAAGAAGAATATTTCTTTTAAAATAGTAAATTAAATGGCATTTTTAAAAATATGTACTGTGGTTCATTGGAAGTACACTGTATAGAAGAGAGAGGGAAAAAAAAAAGAAGAGACATCACCTGTAAGATAATGGAGACACTTTGCGATACACAACAACACCTTATGTAATACTGTAAGCAAATTATTAATGAACAAAAATGTACAGAAGCAGATGGACAAGTTAGTGAATATCATGGTACTGCACAGCTTTAATACTGACACACACTTACTTTCCAGTGGAAGAGATAAAACACATATTTGAAAGAATTGGGATGGCTTTATCAATGTCTAATGATACTGAATTTTGAATAGAATATAGTGAGTAAGGTGTTCCACCAAAGCTCAGCACAAGCTTTCGAATTAAAAGGAAAAAAAAAAGCTACTGGTGACTGAGTTAAACATTTTCCAGAGAATTAAATTTCAAGTGTACCCTGAATAGTCTTCTCTTCATATGGTAATACCAAAATCAAAAACATACATATGTAAATATGATGCCTTCTTTATCTTGCTTGAACATTTTTGCACATTTTTAAGTAATGTTTTTAACTATAATGGTTTAACAAGTAGGAGAATTACATATATTCATTGTTCACATATATAAATAAATGCATACATTTTCTTCTCAACTTTTTTGGTTTGTAACCTGCTAAATAACAGTCTTGACCTTAAGAAAGTTTACCTGCATTTTTTTAATATTCAATAGTGCTGAGTTATAGTTGATGGCTGTAGTGTTTTATCTTATCATGGAACAAGTTAATGAAATGAAAAGCAACACATATTTAGCATTGTAATTTACTTTTCTAAAATTCTGCCATTACTAAAAGTGTTCTTAATACTGGTGAGCTCCAAGGCAATATATAAAACAACATAGACTGGTTATACGAAAAGGGTATTCAAATGGAAACTTGTGTTCATGGTCAGATAACTAACAGAAATAAGCTGTAGGATGCAATAGTTAAATTAAGCATCAAATGAGTGGGCTATCCACATACAATATTCTAAGAAAAGTTTGACAATTTACTCATTGAGATTTGAGAGGTACAGAAGATTTGGACAAAGTCATGAAAACTAATGAAGAGACAGGATGCTGTCATTAATGTCCACTTACAGAGTTTGGTTTATTCAAAAAGTGTATAAACATGCGTTATTTCCTCATCATCGTATGGTTTGAAGCCACTCACTAAAACACAGGTCAAAGATTTTCTTTGCTTATATCCAACTTTTTGGATGTATTGTATTGCCAGAAATGTACTTAATGCAAGCCGAAAATAATTTGACCATTGCTTTCCTTCCAAACACTAAACATTTTACTACAAATTTAGTGGATCCCGCTTTAGCTCTCACAGACTTCAGGTAACAGAACACAAAGGTTTGTTTAGACTGCATCAGAACAATTAATGTCATGAATTTCAGTGGTGCAGCTCTATCCTCTATTGTACTGTACATGTATTGGAAAGATGAAATACGATACTTTGACATTTCAATTTTTTGGAAGCAGCCTGAATATGTCTTAATAATAAATCGTATCCTTAACTACTTACTAGGTATTCCTTGAGTTTATATTGTTTGTTTCTCCTGGGAAATCTGTCTTATATTTTGGGTTGGAGAAATTAATGGTAATAATTCTTTTAAAACTGCAATACAAAAACAGCTTTAGTGAAACACCTTAAATTCTTTTGTTTGTAGCAAGGCTTGTTTTTCTTCCCCTTTACTTAGTGGCATGGGATGGCTAAAAACAGATACTAAGGGCATCATTCTAGTGAAAGGGTCTAGGCCATCTCATGCTACCTTTAATTTTCATATTCACTCTTTAATCTCACACTTCCGACTTCTGACCCCTTCTTAAATAGGAAGAGCAACTATGTTGCTTGCTTTTAAAAGATTTAAATGTCTCTAGTTTCTTCACTGACATCAGTTTTGCCTGTTACTTTCTCATTTCTACACCCCAATGGAAAACCACCTAACATACTCCTTTACATCCAGCATTATCCAAAGTAGCTTACAGTACGTAAACCTTCACACATTCAGTCTCTTTTTTTCTTCATGTCATGAGGAGTAGAGTTTTGTGCTTATCACCAAATAAAATTGCAGTGCAAACTTTAAACATAAAAGTTACACAATTAAAAGTTAATATATGGCACCACAGCCTATTAATTCACATATAGTACAACAGACCAATAAAAACAGACATGAATATGAACATAGCTAAAAAGAAGGTGAGCTTGCATAGCAATGCAACAAAAGAAATTATATACAGAAGGAAATCCTTTTCATCCTGGAAGGTGATTTTTTTTTTTTTTTTCTTTCTTTTTTATATGCTCCTGACAAGGAATAGTTTAAGGTGGATGGTGTATTAAAGAGAAGAACACAAGTAAAGTATCTGTGGGATATGTGTGGCTGTGTGTCTTTACATTGCATTTACAGTTCTTTTAATAGTACATAAATAAAGAAAATGTTCATTGCACTGTTTAGTGTCATCACTTCCATGAGTTCAGACCTGATGGTCCATCAGAGCAGCTTGCAATGTGTCTTCTCAACTACTCTATAGAGAGAAACAAAGAGAGAGAAAGAGGTTGTAATATGGAGTAAAACCACAAAACAAAGCCTATGGCAATATTACTGCAGCACAGGATGCTGAATATTATTCAATGGGTTGGGAGAAGAGAGTTAATTCCTTCTATGTTGAAAAGTGATGGATGCTAAAACTCAGCACTTACCAACACCGTATCTGAGGTAGCACATTTCAGGGTTTGTGGATCACCGTTAGCTCGCTTACAAGTTACTGGGCAGTAACTGTCAGGAGGTACTGAGGGTCTGACTGCAGCAAATTAGGAGGCAGGCATGCCAACAGCTACATTGCCTTTACTAGGAAACATACCGGTATGCCTGAGCTAGCTGGGATGTTGATGTACTACTTCAAACAACACAGTCGAACCTTTTGGCGTCTAGTACCACCATCACATACACAGCATTAACATGGTTTTATACAAGGTTTAACAGATACTGAGTGATAATAGGAAAAAAGTTTGGAAAATAATTCCCCTGGCCTGGGAAGTTGAAGTAAGGCTTGGGATATACAACTGAATAACTGGGCCACACAGTTGAAAAAACAGGACCTCCATCTAAGGTCAAGAAGAGCAGAATACTGCTCATCAAGCAGCAGAAAGTTAAGGACAAGGCATCACAAGCTTGCCACCATGCCCAACAACTTCAGCACCCTTTTCATTCACTCCTCTGAGAAAAACTGCCAATGGCATTTCCAAGACAAACACGCTACACTTTTCCAAGAAAATTCTAAATTACTAGTATGTCTTTTCAATTTTCCCAGTGTTTCACTAGCACTACACACTGAAAGACGTACTATGTACATAATATTGGCATGGCTTACAAAGATTTGAACTTGTCCAAACCAAAGAACAGAAGGGCTTCATGTGTTTGTCATCACAGGCAAAACACCTCAGAAGGCAAAAAGATCTGGGTAAAATTTAATCTGATTATCACACTCAACTTGCTCCTCTCTTTACAACAGATTTATAATTTTTCCCTTTTTGTCTATTTGAGAGTTTGAACTGTAGCTAAACTTACATAATTCACCAGTAAACTGTCCTTGACTGTTTGATCCCACATAGCCTACATCGAGAAGGTCACTGGTATTGCGTTGGTGACCTCCTCGCAAGACTTCACCTTTTCTAGGTCCGGTTGATCCTTTAGAAGAAGCTGTTCCTGAAGAGCTGTGGCCGCCAGGGGATGGGAAGTTGGGTTTACTATATGGTACGAGTGCCTCTTCTAGAAAAGCAAAACAAAACAAAACAAAATAAATACCAAATAAATACCTATAAATAGGAATAATCAAGCTATTCTTATATAGACATCATATTCATTCCTGCCCTCAGATATCTGTCTTTTGTCTTGCTTTACAAGATGGCAATTTTACCTAAGAAAATACACAACTCACTGTTGTATCCCGCAGACAAAGAAACCAGCATGAATTTAATCTTGCTTTCATGTAAACTCCTAAGTTATTTTGTATTAATTATAAAAAGTCTAGATTCATTACGAAGTAATAGATCATGAATCATAGATACTTTAATAAAAATAGATGCACATACAATTTCCAAAACAATGCAGCTATGATTAGATTTTTGCTTCGAGCCTACATGAATGTGCTTTTTCCTTTTATTTAGCTTAAATTATGGTAACATTACCTCAATCAATTTAGATAAAGAACTACAATATTGGCTAATTTAATTAGCTTCCAGCAGCTCAGTAATTTCGAATGATGCAAAGTACACTGAAGAATTTTTTAACTGGTTGGGAATTACATTGGAAAATATTATATTATACATGATATTAGTAGTTTTAATATTTGGGGTGAGTAAATCTTCCTGCAGCTTGTTTCATGGACCCTTATGAGCAAAAGGCTTACTTTTGCTCACTTGGCCTCTTTGTGAAGACCTGTAATAATGAACTGCTTGTGAGAGCAGGATTAATACCAATAAAGCACAGGACTGTATGTCTTCAAATAGCATGAAGTAAAACAAGACATCACATCTGATTAGAGTTTCCGGGAGATATTGTCGTAACGACCCTAACCTAAGAAGCAAAACAGCAGCACTGTTTTAACACTGAAATAGAAACACTATTTTATTTCTTTGCTGTGCATGATCCACTTTTGCTGTCTCAGAACTTGAAGAAAGAGACCTTGCTAAATATAGTTTGATTCAAGAAAGAATATGAGTATATACACTTAATCTCAAACATGGGGATTGTCTCTTCTGAAATCAGTGGGATATCTCCTGCTTGAATCTTACATTTTTTTTTAAAGTGAATCTGGGCTGAAAGGTTTTTTTTTTATTTCACTTTTCCCATTGTCGTCACTCTTAAGCAATCTGATGAGGAGAAACAGACTTTCTTTGACAGAGGGCAGAAAAACAGAAAGAAAAGTAGGTGGGGATGGTTGGAGAGAAAGAGGAGATAAAAATGTTTTTATTCACAATGAGAACCAATTTGTGGAAGAAACCCAGGATTTCATTCTTTGTGCCTACTGCCACAAGTGAGTAGGACACGGGAATTCCCCTTGTGATCTGCTATTGAACAGAACCCGTTTGTAAGGTAAATCTGTTGCAGAAAAGGGCAGGCAGCTGACTTCTTTCTCTGCCAGAGAATCTCCCTCTGGCCCTGCCCAAGGGACCAGAATATTTGCGCTGCAGGACGTAAGGGCATTACCAGTGTTTTGTGCTATGACCGTGTGCTGTCCTTGTCAAAATATAAAGAAACGCTTAAAAGACATAGTAAAATGGCATTTAACAGTCATAGCTTCCCAAATTATGTTACTTTTTCTTTATATATCAAGCCCTAACAATAGAATCAGATGCAAACCTGGTTTCCAAAGCCTGGCTAAAATACGGAACAGCTTGCATTAAGGTAGCAATAAAGCAAACAGCATAAATCAGTTTAGCAGAAAGCTGGATACATTTTTAAAGGATGGAAAGAAAAGTCACTAGCATTGCAAAAGAGTTTGAAGATGACATATATGGTCAATTGATTTGTTTTTCTAGTTTGTGGACTCAGGATAAGGCCTCCTTTGGGTTCAATGAAATATTGAGAAAAAAAGGACCATGAATAAATATAAAGTGCATTATCATTATAGAGCATATGGCGTGTTAAATTATCTGTGGTGCCCTCAGAAATAAATGCAATCCATAAAAAAAGCAACTGTGACATAAAATAAAGGCTAAGTTTTTCACAACATTCTAGCATATTAAAGGTAGTTGTCTCAAGTCCTTAGAATGGGCTCATATTTACTAAATGCTCAAAACAGTGCCCCATGCCCCAGACCTGCAAAGAATATGGGGAGGCTTTGGTGATGCCTTTCTCTTTGAAATACTGAGCTTTTAATTTGAAGATATAATTCTAGCCACTGTGAAATCAGGATATATCGTGTGTAGCAATGTTTCTATACCCCATAAGATAACCATAAGGCTTTTAATGTTATCAAAACTATTGTAACTTCATCTACCACTACTTTCTTTAGCATAGCTGAGAATGTCGTATTTGATGTGCTGTAACTGTGGTTCCACAATGAAGCCATTGGCAGGAACTCAGTGATCTTGTTTATACTGAAAGCAACTGGTAGAAACACGGTTCCCAGAATTTGGTATTTTTATTCTATTCAAGTTCAAACCAAAGGTCTTGCTTTCAAAATTTCACTCACAGCTTGGTAATATCTGAATGAAGCCCCCTAAGCAGCAAAATAGCTATTTCCTGGAAGCTGATAGCTAATAATAACTCCTTTTGGAAATATATTGAAAACTGGGACAGAATAGATTTCCAGAGATCTTTGACATTAATAAAGGAAAAGGGAAGAAGCACAATTACTATTATTTAAACCCCCAAATTTAGTAATATAAACAAGCATCACACACAAGAGTAGCCTTTTTTAAATCTACCAGAGAAAAGAATACAGAGCAAGAAAGCTGTAGTGCAAGAAGCTGGGTTGAGAATACAGAGAGAGAGATATAAAGCTCTGGCCCACCTTGTGCACAAACTTTATGAACCCCTCTCACCAGGGTGAAACTGTAATATCTCCTAGAGGATTTGCATAAAGAATATGCAATTGCTGTGGTCATTCTGAATTTGACAAGAACAAGACACCTGTAATCACTCCAGCCCTAAATTCAATGCTCGTGTAG